CCTACTCGCCATCTGCAACATCCTTTGTCCGGCCATTGTCGAAATTCGGGCGGTCACTGTCGGACACAAAAACCCTCGACAATCCCGCTAGCCTGCCCCACTACTTTCCCTGTCATTGCAACAGTTTACTTACCTTCGTCTACCAGGCGATAGAAGAAGCGCTATTCTTGCTCCTTAAACTGACAATCTGCAAACCTTTGCAGCCCATTCGCCAAATGTTTCCTCTTCATCGGAAGCGAGGAGGAGGCAAAAATACGTACGCTCATATCGAAAGCGTGGGTCTGAACAAATTGATGTCTCAATCAGGTAAATATATTGGGCGGCTGATAATTGTGAATGCGGAAAAGAAGAGCATATACGAACATACACGCCTAAATGCCCCAAATTAGTGACTCAAATGCCAGAAGTCAAATGTTTAAGAGTCGTTTATTGAATGTGATACAGTTGCGGGCAAAGCAACTAGGCCGGAAAACCTGGAAGTCTACTCCGGGCATGAATTTCCGGACAAGACTCAGCAGTGCTAAATGAAGCCACTTCTGAAGTGGCGGCTCACTCGACGAGTCCAGGCCGCACATTCAAGTTTAATGAAGCCGAAATTCTCACGAGAGGTGAGCGATGAATTGCTCGAATTATAGTTTACATCCGCCCACTCTGTGAACAATGAAAATGACCTCCTAAATCCATATTCGTTACTGAGATCTTGTTTGACCAAAGTGAATAGGCACTCGGGAAACATGCAGGCGAACACAGTTTCCGGCGCAAATGCCGATGAGTCAGGTGGCCGAGCAAGCATCACACTAGTCTCGAACACGGGTAATACAATTCTGGCAGACAACGGCCCACATGCCGATCACAAGCGAGTTGCACACCTGATGAAGGGGAGCCCGTTATTGAAATAGTTATGCACCAGCCTATGAGTTGCATCCGTATCTGATGCTGTATCTGAAGATGAGTATGGACTAGAATGCAAACCTTCAGGCGAATTAAGCTCCTGTCTCAGCGATGGCGTCTACATCTTCTCACTACCTTTCAATGCCAAACGGTAGGTTGATTCAGACTAGAAAAGATGAAAGCCTTCAGATGAGAATTTTTGGGAAGGGTTGGCTCGTCACAACAGCTTTATTATACTGCTGACCTGTCGGGGCGCTTAGGCGTCTACTCTCGGTCCAAAATATTAAGTTAAAAACTGTTGTGTTGGTCGGACTTGACGGCTAACCAATCCAACCTTGTTCTCGCACAGACCCTAAAGCCCCCATGGCCGAGGATGCACCCAGCTAGATTGTTCACACCGTCACGTCATGTTTGAGCGATGAAGAACAGACGCAACTAATTGCTGATAGAATCTGAGTCCCGGGAAGCGCACACTAAGCATCTATCACCCTTACCTGCATTTGTCCCCGATGATGAGTTAGAGCGAGAATCCGAAACGTCAAGTCGATAACATTTTTGTTCTTTCTTTGAGCAGAGGTACTTTTCAGAGGCTTCCTTCCTTGTAGCCCTTTATGCCTTCACACACTGATAGAACTAGACTTAAGCCCCTGAAGACTGACCACTCTCAATCCTCTCCCACACACCACTTATTGTTGATTGGCTGTTTGAACTTTCGCTACTCAACCCCCCCCCACCCTCATACAACTACAATGGCATGATGAATAATCGAAAGTGTACTTTCGCCAAA